GCCAGTGAGGCGGGTGTGTAGCATGCATCTATCTCATCAGCCTCTCTCCTTTCCTTTCACCAGGATTAGGCCAGAGGGAAAAGCAAGACTTACAGATAACAGCCCTCACGTTCTCCCCCACAGGCAAAACATTGAAATGCACCGTCCTCGAATCCCACACAATCAGATCCCCGGCTTCCGCACACACTTTTATTTCTTCACAGCCTCGCGCATTAAACCAATCTACTTCTTCTTCGTTGAAGCCGTGCCAGTCCTCTGGTACTGAGCCCCATTCTTTTTTCTTGTCTGTTGAGTGAGTTTTGAAGCTGAATTGATCAATCAGTCATGGTGTTTAAATGAGAGGCGGAGGGGTACGCATACAATTCATCATTCAACAGGTGGGACTTTGAGAGCACGACCAATCCGCCGTCATCAGGGCCGTTGGGAGCGAGGTTTACGATTCCTTGTGCGCACTGAAAGCCGCGGATTAGAGAAGATTGGTCTTGGTGGGGCCAGCGGCCTCCTTTTGGCCTTTTGGATTTAGGGAGCGGGAGAGTGACTGCAGGGTAGTTAGCTTAGAAGGAGGGGAGGGTGGTATAAGACACACTATTGATCCCATCGAAGGAGACAAGGAGCTCGTCTGTTCCCCATATCTTGGAGAAGGCGCCCAGGACACCAGGCTCAAGGCGAGCGTCCCAGACGAACTTTTCGTGGGAGATAGCGTAGCTGTGGTACATTCCTCCTCTATTCCTTCTGTATCAGTCTTCAGATCTTCAAGTTTGGTTTGGAAGAGATGTACTTCATATGAGCAGGCAAATGCTCCTCGGTCCACGTTGAGGGATCATCGCGGTCGAATCCGTGAGGAAACTTCTCTAGCCATTTGGTCATGGATTCCACGTACACTGCTGCGCGGGAGGCGGGGACAGCATTCTTGATTATTGCGTAGCCATTTTGGAAGAGGTCGTCCCGCCAGTCACCGTGTTTTTGGGTGATGTCTGGGAGGGGTGTTGCGTGAGGCATGATAGAGGGGTTGAGTTAAGTTGAGTTAAAAGAATCGGAAGCTGGATAAGAGGAGACGAGAAAGTTGAACTGAAGAAATGTTTTAAATATTACTTATTCTCTCGGCCGTATGATCATCTGATCGGGCTTTTCAATTGAACATTTGTCAACGCACTTGGGATGTTTTGACTCTCTGCACTGGCCGTCTGAGCGACCCTTCGCCACTTTCAAGAAGTTGCGCCGCGCTCCACGCTTCAACATCAGACATTCTCTTCCCACAACTTCGCGGATCTCCCTTGGGTCCAGATTGAGATAGTATCTTCAGCAGTCCGCATGGTTGCCCGGTAAACAGAAAAGGGTTCGGTAAATCCACGGCGCAACTTGCGCCGCGCCATGGTTTGCCCACGCTCAGTACTTCTTGACTTCCCACCCTATCTTCCTCAACTTCATCCCAGTTCTATTCCGCAGAGCGGACCTCCGTCCTCCCCATGATCTTGGTATTCCAGATCAGATACATCCCCAGCCTTGTTGGCAGATATGGAAAGTGTTGGGGGTAAGACTGGAAAGGAGCTCCTTGACTCGCGGATAACAAGTGATAACAGAAGTGGGGAGGAAGTCTATATCACAGGTCTCGAAGCCCAACTGACACTGAGTCAACTCAAATCACTCCTCCTTTTCCAAGCAGCTACTGTTGCAATAAGTCAAGATGGCACCCTCACGTATCGACGTCACGAAGACGCTCGTGAACAATACCAACGCAAAGTGGTGGAAAGATCCTGGAATGAAGAAGCTAAACTTCATGATCGTCTGCGTGATCACCGCACAGATGACATGCGGCTACGATGAAGCAGTTGTTGGGAATTTCCAAGCCATGAAACCTTGGTTGAAAGGTATGTTCCCCCGCTTCTTCTCAAAACCTCCCATTGACATAAACCAGATATGTCCTACCCAGACGCCTCCCATATTGGCCTCATCACAACCATTATCTTCGTGGGGGGTTTCATCGGCTCTTTCCCAGCTTCTCCAGTAGCAGATAGATACGGCCGAAAAGCTGGAATGTACATTGGCTCATTCTTCACTCTCATCGGGACCGTCATCCAAACCACTGCATTCGGGTACGCTCAATTCATGGTCGGGCGGTGCCTCCTCGGTGTTGGAATTAGTTTCACCTGCATCGCTGGCCCCTCCATGGTTGCTGAGCTAGCTCACCCACGACAAAGAGGCACTGTTTTGGGATTCTTCAACACCTTTTGGTACGTTGGCGCTATCGTTGCTGCTTGGGGAAGTTTCGGCTCGGGACATATGAATAACAGCTGGAGCTGGAGGATCCCGAGCTTGATTCAAGGTGTTGCGCCTTGTTTCTTGATTGCCATGTTGCCGTTCATGCCTGAGAGTCTGAGGTGGCTGCTTGCTAAGGGAAGAGCGGAGGAGGCGAGGCAGGTGTTGGCGGAATATCATGCTAATGGAACGCTGGATGATGAGTTGGTGCTGTATGAGATTGAGGAGATTAATACCGCGCTGGCGATTGAGAGTCGGTACGCTGAGGTGGGGTGGAGTGTTCTTTGGAAGACATCTGCAAATCGGAAGAAGATGGGTGTGACAATCTCCGTTTTCGTTCTGTGCTTGTGGTAAGTCACCACCTACCCCTGAGATTGGCATTGCTGACCAAACATAGGTGCGGACAAGGGGTCATCAGCTACTACTTCAGCCCGCTCCTCACTTCTCTCAATGTCACTGGCACTAACCAACAAACCGGTATCAACGGGGGCATGCAAATCTGGAATTTCCTGGTCTCAATCGCAGGAGCCTGTCTCGCAGATCGTATTGGTCGTCGGTCCTTGTGGCTCGTCTCTCTTGTTGCCATGATTTGCTCTAATGTTGGCATCACCATCACCAGCGCCGTTTTCGACAGGAATGGTGCTGATGCCGCAGCATACATGGCCATCGTCTTCCTCTTCTTTTACAATGCTGGCTTTAATATTGCCTGCAACCCGTTGGCATACTCATACCCGACCGAGATCCTGCCGTATAGCATGAGAACGAAGGGTCTGGCTGTCATGGTTGCCATCGGCCAAGCTCTGTTGATCGTCTCACAGTATGCCAATCCGGTTGCAATTGCAGCTATTGGGTGGAAGTATTGGTTGTTCTTCCTGGGAATGCTCTTGCTGTTCCTCATCATGGTGTACTTTACATATCCAGAAACAAAGGGTCTCACACTTGAGGAACTGGCGAACTTGTTTGAAGATGATGAAGGTGTGAAAATAATGGAGAAGATGGAAGGGATTGAACCAGAAGTTGAGACTGTACCCGTTGAAACGGAGCAGAAGGAGTGAATGCGAGCAGATAGTAAGCGCATGATAGGGATAGAGCGGAGCAATAAAACTCGTGCAATGAACCTGACCACTTGTCAGACGATAGCCCCGAGAATTCTTTCAGGCTGTTCCCGATTTGACCACATCAACCCAAAAGAATAAGTAAGGTTGTGGGGACTCGTCTTTCATGTTCAAATCCCAAACGCCGCCCATATGCAACGTAAATATTATACACTCCCGTTCGTCACGCTCGTCAAGGTCGTTGTCCTGGTGCAAGCGGTCCAATTTGCCCCGGCATTTCCTGCGCCCCTTCCGCCTTCAACCTCTCCAACGTCTTATTCCTCTGGTATTCCATTACTCTCCTCTTCTTGAAGTATGTGACCTGCCCAGACCATTAGCCTTGTCCTTGGTATCCAATCCCCCTCCCTCTCTCCAGGTCTCGGCTTCCAATTCTCTAGCCTGAATGGGCTCCAGGGAACCTACCCAACTACTCGCACAATTCGACTCAAACTCTCTTGCCTCTACTGAACATGATCTCTCTGCCTTATCCTTCTCTGTAATGCTGTCCACAATACTGTTCCGGTCTAGACATCCAAAGTACGCATCTCTTGCCTCCCAGCATTTGGCTCGTTGTGTTCGGTCTGGTGCTATTGGTGCGCCGTCCGAGGAGATCTTTGGGGGTGGAGGGGAAGCGGGTGCCGAGCTGAAGAGCCCCATTGTAGCAGCTTGGAGGTTCGGGGGAGGTGGAAGGGTCAGCTCGCGGAAGACTGGAAGATGTTAGCAGCTTCCTCCAGATCCCAAGTCAGTTCCATATTGGGCAGATTCTACAGCGTCTTTTTGGAATATTCGGGCGTAGATATCGTCTTGCGTAGAGCTTTGGTCAAGCTCGAAGTCGACTCTTCATCATCAGCTTCGCTAGCCTCCTCACATGACGGCAGAATTTCACACCGCCTCACAAAAGCGTCACAAATCTGGCCTCGCAACAGACGCCTCTCTTTCAACCTCAGCACCAACCTCCCACCACACAGCAATTCAAATGCTCCTCCGATAACACTCCCCTTTTATACACATCCGCGACCATTATTATGGCGCGACGAAGACGTCCCCCACGACCAGGCGCGCTAACCGAACTCCCACCCCTCAAAATCCTCACGCAGATAGTGCTACTGCAGGTGGTTTGGTACGCGGTGGGGACACTGCTAATACTGTTCACGGCGCTTGTGGCCGGGAAGAAGTTTAGTTTTGATTTGGTATTGAGCTGGAGGAGCTTGAGGGGTGATACGACGGTTGGGTGGATGCTGGGGTTGGTTTGGTTGTTGAATTCGGTCGTTGGGTTTGTCTCCCTTTCTACCTCTCTACCTCCCTCTTCGTCTTGAAATTACAGGCTGATGATGCAATGTTTGTTATAGGGCAGTATCAATACTTCTTCTTATATCAAGAAGTAAATTAGTCCCCGACTTCGCGCTCACACTCCACTTCATACACCTGGTCGTGGTATCCGCATATTCGAAGTCCGTTCCGCAAAACATGTTATGGTGGGCTCTACAGGTGGCCAGCGCGGCGATGATGACTAGTCTCGGGGTATGGAGTTGCCAGTATCGAGAGCTAAGGCCGATAAATTTTGGTGGGTCAGCGCAGAATACGACGGGAGAGAGTTCGATGGCTGCGTCGACAAATGAAGCCGGGGATGGGGAACAAGAATACGGACGTGGCAGGGGAAGAGGCAGAGGCAGAGATGGAGCAGGGGAATACGAGATGGTGGGTATGAAAGCGGATGGAGAGGCTACTTGACAATGTTTCAACAAGGCGCAAGGGAGCAATGGCATTGGGCGGCGTTCTTAACTGTCAGGCCTGTACACTTCTTTCCTCAACCTCACTGGGCTCTGGTTGTAAGCGTTGTCAGGTTGGATACCCTTGATTAATCCAATTTCTTGCTACACCGAGGGTCCTGTTCAATCTTGGAATGGACTAACACCGTCACAAGTACGTCCTCTCTCTTCTACCTCCTTTCCGTGCCCAACGACTTCTGTCTGGTCCGACTGGAAGTCCGTCAAGCTCAACTCCGTCAGATTCCGGGGTGAAGATTTGAGTTCCGCTGGTGCTCGTTCTTGGAAATCCTGGACTCTCCCTGTGGCTGACTCTCAAGTCCGTCGTACTATTAAACGCACCAAAAGACCAACCAGGAGTGGCATCCTCTTGTTCCTGCCTTCGAACCTGGGTGTTGAGTCTTGGCAGAGTTTCTTCCATGGGACTTACAAGTGTGCTCCCAGCCGCAATCAGAATGCTCCTCTCCGCCAGCTCTTTTGCTCTAGAATGATTTTGGAAGTCCTCTGGTGTATAAACTTCTGAAAGCATGCTTCGTCTTCGTTGTCTGTTGGCAGTCTTCCTCGAGGAATATGAATGAGAAGACGTGGGTGATGGGGACTGGGAGGGGAAAGACGGAGGCGAATCAAACTTTGAGTGCATAGAACCGCCACTGGCCAAAATCGAACTTTTCGGACAAGTTTGACTCCTCGCGAAGATCAAGGTATGCGATGAAGAGACAGGCTCCAACATCGGCTTTTTGCCTTTCACGAGAGACCTGATGTCAGCTTGCGTTGGAGATGCAGCCCTGCTGAGAGTTTCTGCAGGTGTGGAGGTCGAGGCGTCTGGGGAATCAATTAAGCAAGGACTGATTCTGCCACCAGGGTCCGGAGAATACGCTTCACTCGCTGGGGAGTTGAAGTGCGGGGTACTTTCGACGCTGGAACTGTGGATATCACCCCTCTCTTGTGCCCTCAGTCTCCTCTTCCTTGCGTCAGTACTCAGAGCTAGGCTAGATACCTCACTCGCATCAGACTCAGAGCCTGACGTGTGGTATTCTGATCGGCTTCGTGGCAAAGCACAATGCAGACCTCCTCCGAACCGACGTGTGAATGATCTCCATCGCTTGACCACCAACTCTCTGACTGGCTGTACAAACACATGCTGTGGTTCGGATCTGAGCATTGGTTGAAGGAGATAATTCATCTTAGGTGATGGTTTGGAAATACGATACGCTTCGGAAGCCGGGCGATCTCCTTCGCAATATTCCTGGGATTTCCGTGGGAATTGTGGAAACTTGAACGATTTACAATCCGCATGATGGACGCCTTGTCCCCGGTACCAGGCAGTCTCTGTAGCCGGTGGATCCAGTCCCTCATTGTTGCAGCAAGATCCCTGCTCCCCTACCTCGCACCCTTCTAAACCCGATCCTTCAGTTGGATGTAGGGCTCGATGAAGTCTTGGCCGCTTTGATGGACCTCCAGATGTTCCGATATCCGGTGTCACCGCCCTCATCTTTCCCGCTCGCGGAGACGGAGGTGGAGAGGAGCCATCATAGGTTCCATGCCATACCTGGGTAGGCGACGAGTTGCGCGGTTGATGTCCGAAACTCGGAGAATATCGAAAATTAGTATGCATCCGCAACGAGCTGATCATTCGAGGATCTGGGAGTCGTGTTGAGCCATGTTTATCCAAGATTGTGTAATTCGGGGATGGCAGTCCAACAATCGAGTCTGGTGGGAGTGTGAAGCATGCGCCGAGAAGCTGGATGGCGACGAGTTGTGCTAGGTCGTGGATAGTGCTTGGATCCGAGAGAAAGCTGTCGGAAACTGCTCGGCGTTGAACCTCGTATGCGGCTTTCGGACGCTCGTCAACCTCCCTGTACCATATCCTCGGGCCTGATTCGTTCGTGGTTCGCGGTGGAACCTTCGTGATGCGATGGTATTTTGCTTCTGGCGACCACCAGTATGGGCGACCTGTCTGGCAGACGTATTGCCACTCAAAGATCTCCCGATCTATGATGTTCAAGGCTGCCTGCTGTTCTAGATCTGCCTCCCTAACGTCTGCCTTGGTGTCCGGTGATCCGTCCATCCTTCGATTCGACGCATTGCTGATGCAGGACAAAGACGGGTCTCGCGCCCTCGCTTTCTGCTTCGGTGCCATGTATAGGACTTGGCTGTTCTCGGATCCGTATGCCTCAGATGTGTCGATGGATTGCGAATATCGGCTTCGAAATTTGTGAGAAGCATGGCGTCGACGGCGAAACAGCTTCGAGAAGTCGGCGATGCTTGAATTTCTTCGTAAGGATGCTAGCGGATCCAATGAGCTTTCGGAAGCATCTTCGCAGTTACTCATAGTGATAAAGGAAGAACGTAGGAATGATGGAGCGGTGCCTGGGGGGGCCGGTGGTGGCTTTAGGTGTTGTGTCCGAAGACAATGAAGAAGGAAAATAATCTTCTAACGTCAAGATAACATCCGTGTCTACTTTGGCATCCGGTCGAGACTTCTTTGTTTGCTTGTCATCGTCCTTGTTCTTCCCGAAGTGGGCGCTGGGCTATGGAGTTCAACTCATATTGCGTCCTCACCGAAGGAAAGCGCAACCTGGGGCAATCAACCACAACCTGCACAATGTCCTGCCGACTATACTTCCAACAAGCGGTTTTCACATATTTATACTTGGACACGGTGTCTTTTTCGTGCTTATCCATTCTTGTTTTACACAAGGGCAAATCATTTTCTGGCTTCCGAATTAGCTTTAAATCTCCTTCAAACAACACGAGACTCGAGAAACCTCAACCCAGCGAGAAGTCATTTACTCCTCCTTATTAAAGATATATATTCCTTATTATATAGCCGCTATTATTCTATTATAATAGGGATTTTGCTTCTTCTAGTTATATATCGCGATTATATAATACCTAGAATATTTAGTTTTTATATATTAAAACCTTACTTTCTTTTCTCTTTTTAAATAATTAATTGATTTTAAAAGTATTAAAAATTAACGAAAAAGATATTTTAAAATTATATATTAATTAAAGTATATAAAATACAAAAACTTCAAAAATATAATTCTGATTTAAATTAAAATAATATAAGTTATTAATAAAAGAATTAAGAAAGAATCTTAATTTATATATTTTAAGGTAAAGATATATAAATTAAGACAAGAATAAGCAAGGCAATGCGAAGGCTCGTAAAAGTCGTAAATTTATCCCGCTTGTAAATTTACTTAATTATAACGTTTCTTATAATGTTCTTATATATCTAAATCCAAGTAGAGATTAATCAATTCATTGTTTGACTTCTAGGTACTCTTCATAACCGAGATCCCTAGTCAATGCACACCCCAAGCGAATGCACACCTCACAAAATATTACCCCTCCATCTTCAAAATTCAATAAAATAGTCAGCGAACAAGATATTAAGAAAGCGATTAATGCGCTAGATAGGCAATTAATCCCTAATTACAGTCAAGTGGCCAGGGATTTTGGTATTAAGCGTATAACCCTTATGCGAAGGCATAAAAGCATATATACCTCCAGACAAGAAATAACCTCCCTCTACTACAAACTCCTTACTAATATACAAGAAGAGGCTTTAATTAGTCAAATTAACAAGCTTATAGTCCGTAGACTCCCTCCTACCTTACAGATTATTAGAAACCTTATAGAGGAGATTATTAGCCGCAATATAAGCAAGAATTAGATAGCTGGTTTTGTCTACTAGTACTCATCTCACCTAAAGAGCCTTTATTTACGTAATATTAATAATTTGCGGATGAAATCGGAATATAGGCCCTATATCCAGTTCTTCTTTAATTTGGTAGTATTTAATTTTAGTATTTTCCCCATATTTTGCTTACTTTATAAATAAAATAGCTAATATTCCTTCTTCCCACTTAGTTAATTAAAGTAATCAAAGATTATAATATTATAGCAGAAAATATATATAACTAGGATAAGAAAGGTTTTTTAATTAGAATTATATATATAATAAAGCATATAATAACGAAAGAAGTATATAATAGTAGGAAAATTACTAAAGTAAAGCAGGATAGCTTGCGAGAATTTATTAGCTTACTTGCTTCTATTTATACGGATAGTACGAAGATTCTACCGGCTCTCATTTATAAAGGAATTTCTGGGGACCTTTAGGACACTTAGTTAGACAATTTAAAAGAGAGGGAATATGCTTGGTTTATATCTAGTATAAATAGGTAGTTATCTAATACTCTAGGCCTAGTATACCTTATCCAAGTTTTTAATCCTGCTACCCGTACGAAAGTAGGATATAGAAGGAGGCTTTTAATTATAGATAGGCATTCTAGCTATATTAATATGGAGTTTATTCAAATATACGATTGGCTTAAAATTCTGCTTCTTATTTTACCCCCGCATTTAATATACTATCTTTAACCTTTAGATATAGGCTGTTTTTTACTACTTTCTACTTACTATTCTACTAAGATTAATAGGATTTTAAATACTAGCGAGGGTATTACTTGCTTAATAAAAAGAATATTTTAGTCTATTTTTAAGCCTACTTGGAACAAAAGTATATCTAAATCGAATATTTTATCCGCTTGGAAGAAGACGGGTATATGGCCCTTGTGATGTGTGCAGGGTCGTACGTGACTTAAGGGCATGTGACGAACCTCGGATATCGCGGGTGTCGATCAGGGAGTTCGGCAGCCCTTCGATATCCCAACCAACCACTGTTTACATCATATGCATTAGGCTTATAAATCACTAATTGTATGTATGCCATCGGAGCCTCCTATTTAGAGGGGGCTTCCCTGGACCTCACAGGAGGGACAGAGATTAGTTCTGTACTGAATTTAATACTGTGGTTTCACAACACACTGATTCATTCTATTGTCTTATTGCCTACCAACAAACACCTCACAGCCCTACTAATCATTAATTATCTTATTAGCTATTGCTCTACTAAGACCGCAAACTTCTCCTAAAGCTTCTACTAATACAATTTTAATTCCTTATACTACGAAACGTATATAGTAATTCTTAAAAATATATGCAAAAAACCTATCTAAGATTACTTTTCGCAAGCTTACTAAAGCAAACGAGACAAATACTATAAAGGCTTCTATTACAGAGTACCATATAGAGAGTTTGAAAGAAGCTTTATAGCTTGAAAAGAAAAAGAGACATTATAGGAAAAAGCTTAATTTAATAGGAGAGCTATTAGGAAAGGCCTAGTTCTTTGGAATAGCTAAAGTACTAGCTATAGTAGTACGTAAGGATACGAGGGTTATATAGGCAAAACAAGATAAATTAGATAAGCAAAAGGCAAAGGAGAATGCAAAGATTACTAAGGCTATAGATAATGCCTTGAAAAAACAAGAGAAAGAGTTAGAGAGGCTTAGGAAAGCGGAGGAAAAAGTAATTACTAATCAAGTAAAGAAGGAGAAGCATAAATTAGAGGTTTTGGAAAGGGCAGTAGCTAGAAAGGCAGCTACTATAGCTAGAAATACTACTAAAAAAGCCAAACCCTCTCATATAGTAATATTGAGGGTAGGGTCTTCGATTTTATCGAATTTAGGGGCTCAGGAAGCGGTAATAGTAAAGGAGGACGATTCTAAAGCTGTGGGGGTAGTACAGACTATCCCGATCGGAAAGGGAGATTATTCTACCACAACGCCTTAGAAAATGAAAAATCCTAATTAGCCAACTTAATACGCCTAGTTCAATTGCTTTATATTTTTAATTTTAGGCCGATTGATTATATGGTTATTTAATAATTAATTAATTAAGCTCGAGGTCGGCTGAAAATTTGGGGTGTGCATTCGCTTGGGGTGTGCATTGACTAGGGATCTCGGTTAATTCATAGCCAGCTGGGTATCTAACTTTCTCGCGGGTATAAACTACCGTGTGATCTTAAAATAAAGAGGGGAAAAACAAAGTCGCCGTTCCAAACCCAGCGCTCCTACCAGAAAGATGTACCGTTTAAGGAGAGCGGACTCTCCGGGGCTTGTAACTTTCCCAGCCATCTGCTGGAGTCATTGCACCATTGCATGATGGCGGCCTTGCAGAAGCTCCCACCTGGTTCCATTCAAATGACAACGGATCATGACCCCTATTGTATCTCTTCCTATTAAACCAGAGTTCAAATTTCAGATCTGCCGGCGCGATAATCATTCTCACGGTAAAATTCGCAATGTAGTACTTCTTTGCCTGCTAGGGCCTCTTGTTCCTCGGTTCAAATTCCTTCTCCAAGACTTCATTCAGATCTGATTGTAGTGTGCAGAGTTTGTAGATCCCAGCTTGAAATCTGCACAAGTGACCGCAATCTCAAAAAAGGGATTATATTACTCACGGCCACTGAAACTACTGGGTAGCTTCTCGGGATTTTCATGTGATATCAATATCCCCGTGTCGAATTTGCGGTTTGGGTCACCTGGAACAAGCCTCCGTGAGAATGGCCTTTCAATGGAGGAATCTGTGTCGACAGTATCACCCTACACGAGCAAGTCAGCCCAAACTGCACCACCTGCCATGCAGAGCCCTGTGTTTATACCTCCTTTACCGGCCAATCCATTTGCATCAAGGCCCCTTCCAACTTCTTATTGAACGGATCAGGTTCTGTTTTTACTCCGATGTGAATCGTAGGGTCGTATGGCACGCGGCAGAGAACACCGTAGCTAGCCCTAGCTCTATATCTTGCATAAGTACAGCTCTCGAATAAGTTTAATATACGTACATCCGAGTCTTGAGAGTTGCAGCTCCAGAGATCAGTTTCCGCCTCCTATCTATACCAATCCTTTGACTACTGCACGCCGCGGATCACGGGGCTTGAGGATGCATGTTCCGTCCGTTCGCAGGGCGATTGGCTAAATGATGTTTTTGGATTTCGGTTTTGACATATTCCGATCCCCCGAGACCATCACTCAATAAAAGCATCCTCTGTACCAGTGTGAGAAATGAATAGATTAGATTAGATTAATGGCTATTAATCTAATCTATTCATGAAGTTTTCTCATTAATCATATTCTATTCACGAATTAATTAAGCTAATCATGAATATTCATGAATAACTTGATTAATGTACACGTGACCGCAGCACGTGACAAGTTAACCTAATTAGGTAAGGTTCAGGCTCTTGTGCTACCATGCTTCTAGAGAGAAAAGCTCGCTAAGGCAGTGCTAGAGCAAGAACCTTACTTAATTAGGCTAGACTATCACGTGCTGTAGTCACGTATATATTAATCAAGGTATTCATGAATAATCATGATTAATTATTCTAATCTAATCAAATTACATAAGTATCACGTTAATCAAATTCTATTCACGCTATTCATGAATATTCATGAATTAATTAATTAATCTGATTAATTTTTTCGCACACTGCTCTGTACCGTGTTAACCTTGTCTTTTACTTGAGTTGCTAAGGGCTACAACATAGTCATTTGGTCTGTTGGAATGCATCCAGTCTAGCTGTTTATCTATCTGCTTTATTATACCTCTGATCTGGACGTCGAACAGAGCTTGGATTTCTGATCTAGATTTTTGTCAATGTTTTATTGCTTAGATTGTCGATGACAACATCCTAGAGCCTTGACTCACTTCAAAAAGCACATTTTTCCAGCTTCAATCCCAAGCTCCGGGTGTGAGAAATCCTGGCTAACACCGAGTCCAAGCTTGTACGCTACCTGTGTACCCGCTCTCATTCCGAAATTGTGCTTGACGGACTGGAAAAAGGCATTTTTGGCCAGTCCATTTGCCAGGTCATCGGAAAATTTAGCGTCTAGATATTGATCAAGACGCCTTTGGAGGAGAAGTTCGAACGCGCGATCAATCACGCCTTCCACAGCTGCAACCTGTTTCAAGGCAGGTACTTCAGGGTTCCCGTTCAGTACTTCAATGAGGCCATTGGGTTAAGACTGCAAAGTATTCAAATCAGTACTCAACGCTTCTCAACGAAAGGGCAAGGTTCTCCCTACCCAGTGGTACCACCACCAGCATCATTGTTATTTCCCGACTAAAGGAAGCCGTACCTCTTTTTCAATGCGTGCCGTTAATGGAAGTTGCAAACGAAAAGATAGGTCCTGGAGCTCAGCCTTGCGGCAAAACTTGATTAAGAGCAGCGAACTGGCGGGAAAGCTTTCCGACGATTATCAGGGGCTTAGGATGGCTATATAAATTTCCTGGAAGCCGCTCGACTCGCTCTGAAATACGCCTGTCAAAGCAGAACGTCTCTGGAGTGAGGCCTCAAGACTCGCAAGGGGTGGATTTATTTTGCTCCAACATCACCCTAACCAGCCTTGTCCGCTTAGCCATCAGCACTAAAAAGGGGCGGATTTGGTGGGGGGAGGAAGCTGGCATTGACTGGTCGTTGCCATATTCTATCCTGGAGGAGCCCATTGTCGCCGCTGCGGCGCTGCGGAACGGCTCGCTGTCCCCCGCGGCCGCTTTCAAAAGCAGGGTGCGGGAGGAAAATGCCTCCGCCGCTGCCTCACTCATCTCACTGGCAAGCGACGTTGCAAGTGCTGCACTTGAGCCGTCCCCACAAACAGTGCTTCGCCTCGCTTGTCATGTTCAAGTGCGCAGTCCGGTTCGTCCAACTTCCTTCACGAACTCGTGCTCCCACATGGCTTATCCGCGGTCCGATTGTGCTTGCAGAAAGTTGGCAGGATATTAGGTTGGTTGGAGCAGGGCGACCGGAGCAGTCACGATGTGGCCCGGAGGCTGAGAGGGTGATATCTCAGTGGATGCTCCATCCCATCACACGAGCTTACGAAACACTCACTACACTGCATCAGAGGAACGTCGCCGGCCCCCAAAGTGCGGCGGTCTGATTCCAGGACAAAGTCGAGCGCTTGAGATTCGCTACGAAGTGAGCATCAGCCCCGTTTTCTCCCACAAAATGGGTGGGTGTTGGCCCTCCCCTTTGTCTCGATCAACTCTTCCCACACAACTATCGTGCCATGGTATCGTCAAATTTCATAGCAAAGATTCTAAGTGCAGAGAGAAATGTCTCAATAGTTGTCGACGACAACGATTTCTCGGCCCCTTACTGGTCTCACCACGAATACCACGTCGAGTGTAAGCACTCAAGTTATTCAAGGCGAGCACAACACTACCAATATATCCACCCACGGCTGGACTTATACTTCAACCGTGTCCTTGCCTGGACCCTGGGCCCTCTTTACTTCAACCATTACCTTTGGGCCTACTTCTAGCAATTCCTCAGGCACCAGGACAACTGCTTTCACAAATTCAACAGGGCTACCAACGAGCCTTACAACATCTCCTACACCTACGGTAGTGGCTAAATCGAAGCCTTCGAAGGGCGTGCCCACTGGTACCGTGGTGGGCGTTGGGATTGGAACTGCACTTGCAGGGCCTGGCTATTTCTCCGACAGTCACAAAGATCGAGACCTGCTGCTGGGAACTCCTCGCCGAGTCTTGGAGACCATGTAGGAAGATTTGGCGGCGCGAAGAACAACATTGGTAAAGGAGTATCTACTTCATTCGTCGCATTGGACGATATGCCCTTCGAAGACCATAGCCAAACTCGAAAGTCTATGCAGGATCTCTACGAATGGATACATCAGCATGCTGAGAATCGCTCCAACGCATGGAACTTTGAAGGACGCCGTGAAGATTTGAAGCACGAGTTGGCAAAGGGTGAATGGAACGATTGGACAGAGCAGGGGCCTCAGAAGTTGGCATCACTCCTTGTCAACCCCGTCACACGGCGTGTAGCCATTAGACACATAGTTGCTTCGGCCATAATTCAGCAAATCGATTTAAAAAGCAGCCCCGACACGTCGCTACTTCCCGCCCATATCGTAGCATTTGGCCAGGCGCTCCTGAAAATCAAAAGAACCCCAGGAGAACAAGAAAGTAAGAAACGCCCACTCCACATACCATTTTACAACAGCTTACAATACTGTCGTTTCAGCTTTCTCAAATTCATTTTCAAAATGGCGCCACCTCACTGCCGCTCTCTTGTCACCTCTTTCCTCTCGCACCGACAACTCAGAATGAGATTCAATTCTATGCCCTAGCCTCATACGTAATATGGAACTTCTCAACGGCATCCTTCGGCCATTCATAAGATCAGGCAAGGAGGCACAACTTGCCCAATCTGAAAACTTGGCTTCTATAATTTTTGAAGGTGCTCATTTCGGATATCTGCTGTTCTCACAACCAACAATTTGGGTTTTTAGATGGGATCGGAAGAACTTGAGCCATGGGGCAGGAGTGATCGAAGGTCCGGGAGCGAGACCGGAACTGGCGTGGAGAAAAGTTTCTTGTTGTATTTCCAAGCATCGGGAAGCTCATAGTAAGAGATGGCAGCGATCGTTTGAGAGTACTTGTGGATGCTATGGTAGAGTGGATCTAACTCGTACGGTCATGTCATTTTTGTGTATTTGTTATTTTTAGAAGCACCAGATTCTTTAATGTCTAAGTCTTGCTGTCTAAAATTGGAATTTTTGAAAACAAATTAACACGAATTATTCAAACACCAAATATCAGCAAACCCTGATAAACCCAGAGAGCTATCAAGTCAAGGTGTCCCGTCCCAGGAGCCAATAAATCAGACTAGGCTTTCCGATCTAACGGAGTGGGTACCGATTAGAACATGCAGTTTAGAAGCACCGAAAATAGAAAAGTTGCTCACCACGCCATTGCTGTGTATTGGGTAGCCTAAACAGTCAGACTGCAGTCCAATCCCCCGCCGCACTACTGCACGCATTTATCTTACACCACACCATCCCGCGCAATATCGAGGCCTAGTGTAAGACGCTGCCTCGTCTAAACTTAGAATTTGGATAAAATACCGCTTCAGGCTCTTCCTTCTCTCAAATTCTGTCCTTGAAATTCATTTGCAGCTACGCCAATCATGCCAGAGCCACCCTCAACAGCGGCCATCTCGACGGTAACCTCGACTGTGGCATCATCTTTGTCCTTAGCAAGATTGATTTCGGATATCAAGAACACTCCTGCCGACGTCAAAACATGTTTCAATCTGACTCATCGTATCGAAGCCGATTTGCAAACCCTTGTCAATCTCCGCGCGAGATATGAAATGTATCCCCTGACCGTCCCCGAGACCCTGAAGCGCCTTGATGACATCGTCTACGACCCCAAGGACGGTATCTTGAATGTTTCCAGGCTTCCCGAAGGCTATCGAGAAGATGTATGAGGGTAATACCATTCCCTTGGGCAGCAAGATGAATTGGGTATCGGGAGACAGCGTTGCATTTGCAAGGCGTACGGCAAACTTGCAGCAGCAGCTTGCGGCTATAAATGTAGAGATTATGAGCTTGAGACAGATTAATATGTTGCAGCCACTAGAACGTCTAGCGACGACCATGTTTGAGAATGTGGAGCTATTGAGTATGGAGAGGAAGGGGGCTAAGAAGAGAGATAGTCCTCAAGGTCGGAAAGATAAAGCTAATTACGGTGAATTTATGCGTTTCAACAGGTTCCTTAGATCGACTGGAGAGAATAGAGATAGAGGAACTGATTCACAGGTTTTAATAGTCGGACTTAACGTCGCGCTAAAGGGGCCCTTCCCTTTAGTCAGGGAAAGCTAGTTATTTCGGGAAGCAAGATATCCCGCACTATATTAAAATTTCTATATAATTACAAATACTTATATTATATTACATAATTAAATAATTCTTAAATTAATATATAATTAAGAATATAATCTCTTATTACTTTAATATTATAAAATCTGTATTTTAAGCTATTGAATTAGTTAATATTACTAATTTAAATAATAAAGAATATAGAATTACTTTATTTTTATTAATTTCATTATTTATATTCTTTTTTAATTTAATTCCCTAAATTCTTCTAATATTACTTATATATATAATTAATTAAAAGAGTTTTTCTTTATTTAATAAGCTTATTTAAATATAAGTATTATAGAATTAATAAAAATATTTATAAAAATTACAAGATTTTTTAGCTTACTATTTAATTATTTTATTATAAAATAATTAATATTTAATTCAAATAGCTTTAAGCTTATTTTTTTAGAAATTTATTTTAGAAATTATAAATTAGTATTTAAAGCTTAAAAAAATTATATTAATTTTAAGAATTTATTTCTTTATTTATATTTTTAAATCTTTTATTTATCTTTTTCTTTTCATTATTTATATAATAATTTTTACTTTTTTTTTAGCTTTTTTTTAACTTTTTCTTTTAAAAAAATTTATTATATTTTTAATTTTTAATTTCTTTTTTTCTAAAATATTAAATATATTTATTTCTTTATTTCTTTTAAAACTAAACTATATATTTAGCTTGGCCTTATAATTTTTAATTTATATTTTATAAATATTTTAAATATTTGACTTTTATTAACTTTTAAATATTAAATAGTTTTTAATAGTTTTAATTATAATTATATATCTTTTATAAAAGAAAAAGCTTAAAATATTTAGAATTTTGTTATTAAAATCTATTAAATTATAAAATCTATTTATTTTATAAAAAAGATTAAAAAAAAATATTTAATATTTATAAATAATATGTTTTTTATATTTAATTTGGGTTTTAATTTAAAATTAAACTTTAGAAATTCTAAACTAATATTTTTAAGCTTTTTTTAAATTATTTTAAAATTCATAAAAAGAAATATAATATATAATAAGAATTTAATTAGATATGTTTACGAATTAAGAAAGCGTTATATAAGTAAAATATATATTAAATTACTTAATATTTATTTTATAAAAAAGAAAAAGACTAAATATAAAAAAAAGAAAAAAAGAATTAAGGAATTATATAAGAATATATAATTATATTAATTATTAGTCTAATTCTTATTATATTTATTTCCTTTCTAAATAAATTACTTATAAATTACTAAATTATTAAAAGAACTTATAAGAAAATATTAGCTTAAATATATAATTCTATTTTATATAAGTAAAAGAGATATTAAAACTAAAACAAATAGCTTAAGAAATGAAGAAATTCTAAAATTATATTAAAATTAAAATTATATTAAAATTAAAATTATATTAAAATTAAAATTATATTAAAATTAAAATTATATTAAAATTAAAATTATATTAAAATTAAAATTATATTAAAATTAAAATTATATTAAAATTAAAATTCTAAGCCAGGCTTAATATTATTTTAATTTCTTAAATATAATATTTTTATAAAAAAAAAGTAATTATTAATCTTATATTTTTTCTTATTATTTTATTTAATCTCTATTTTTCTTTATTATTCTTTCTTTAAAATAAAGAAAATGTTTTTATTATTAATAATTAAATATCTTATATTATTTATTTATATATTAATAAAAATAAAATTCGAATTATTTTATTTTACTTTTTTCTATTATTATTTATAATACTTTAAAGATATTTTGTAATTTCTTTCTTAAATATAAATAATAATAAAAATAAATAATATATAAACAAATTTATTTCTTTTAAAATAATATTAGGCTATTATATATAAGAAGAGAAATTTAAGAAACTGAAATATTTTTTTAAATTATTAGAATTAAAAACTAATTTATAAAAGCTATTAAGGAATTCTTAATATTAATTATTAGAATTAGGTTTTATATTACTTTTAAATTCGAATAAGCTTAAAAACAAATTAGTAAATAGTTTAGTAATAAAGTCTTTATTAGAAAAATTATTAATTACTTTTTATTTTTTTTAAACTAAATTTAATATTATTTTCTTTATTAAATTTATTATTAGATTCTTATAAGATTTTAGAAATAGCCTCGAATTTAGTCTTAAAATAATAAAATATAGTATTTATATAATTATAATAATTAATAATTTAAATAAAAATAATCTTTATTCTTATAAAAATTATAGATTTTTTTTAAAAAAAAACAAGAATTTAAAATAAGAAATAAAGATTTCGGGTTATTTTTTATAATATATATTTAAAAGCTATATATAAATCATTACTATAATAGTATTTCTTTAAAATAAAAATATTTTAGAAAGCAAATATAATATTAGAAATAGCTATATTATAAATTTTATAAATATAAATATTAAATTTATTCGAATTTAATTAAAATATATATTTCTTTAAAATAATATAATTAGTTTATAGAAATTAATATAATAATACTTTACTTATAGAACTTAATTTAGTAAAACTAATTATAATATAAAATAATTTATTAATATATTTAATTTGAGAGAATTTTTATTAATAAAAGATTTCGAGATCTTAAAGTTATATAATTTAAAAATAAAATTTATTTTAAAAGACTTTATTTTTTTAAGATTTTATTATTATTAAAAAAAAGCTATTAGATTTATAAATATTATAAAAAGAATTATTCTTTAATTTATTTTTATAAAAAAAAATAAAAAAAAAAAAGTAATTAGAATTTTTTATTTAATAAAAATAATATTATCTAAAAGCTATTCGAGATTTATTTATTTATTAATTAAATTCAATTTCTTTATTAATATTATTTCTGAGCCAAATTTAAAGATTTAAACGAGTAATAATTATATTTAGTTTTAATTAATAAATTAGTCTTATTTTAAAGGCAAAAAATAATCTTAATATAATAATACTTAGAATTACTTTTAAAAATAATAAGGCTATATAATAAAATCTAATTATAAATCTAATTAAAAAGTAATAAAATCGATTTCTTTAAAAGATTTTTAAAGATATTAGCTTAAATTTAGGCTATTTACTCTATATTTTTCGGAACTTAAAACATTTACTAAATAATATCTAAATAAGCTACTAGGTAAGTTTTATTATTCTTATATATAATATAAATTATATTTAGAAAATAAGAATTATAAGGATTTTAGTTCGAAATAATTATATAATAAATATATATAAGAAATGTCTAATTAATAAGATTATAAAAAAAGGCCTTATTATTAATTAGGGCTTTATTTATTATCTAATTAGCTATAAAAATAAAATAAATAATAGTTTTATTATAAATAAAAGAAATAAAATCTTTAATAAAAATAATATTATAAATATAAATATTTATATAACTATATATATAATTTAAAATAGAAATAGAAATATATTTCTAAAAACTGAAACTAATTTGCTTTTATAAAAAGGTATCTTAAATTATTCTTTTAAATAATTTATATTTCTTTTTAATATAAAAGCTTTAAATATTATAATAATTATATTAGATTTTTTAAAAAAAATCTTTAAAATTTACTTTTTCTTATTCTTTTTATTAACTCTAAATTCTAAGTATTTTATATATTTTTAAATATAAAATATATAAGCTATTTTAATAAATATAATAAAAATTAAAAAGAACTTAATTTACTTATTTATTAAAACTTAAAAAAAGTAAAGATCTTTATATTTAAAAGATTATAAATATAAGTATATTTATTAAGCTTTTAAAAATCAGGCTTAAGAAAATACTTTTAATTTACTTTAATAATATTAATATTTTTGCCTTTTACTTATAAATTAATAAGCTTTTTAATTATAACTTTATAAATAATATAAACCTTAGCTTAATTATAATTACTAATAATAAGATTAATATAAAATTCTTTAACTTTTTTTTAAAATATTTTATAAGATATAACTAGTAAATTTATTAATGAATTTAGAAACTTCTTTAAATATTATAAGTTTAGGTTTATTAAAGTTCTTAATATTAAAAATAATAGACTTCGAAGAATTAATAAAGAATAAACATTTCTATTTATATCTTTATTAGCTTTTATATTTATAAGTTCTTAAATATATTAGTTAATAACTTTTTTAAACTTATTTCTAGTTATATTAACTTTTTATAAGCCGGATTTAATAAGTAATTATTAATTATAAAAAGAAAGTTATTTAGGCTTTAATTTAAAAAAATCACATTTTCAAGAATTATATAACTAATTAAAAAAGCTTAATTAATTTAGTATAATTTAGAATTAAAATATATTAATTTCAATCTAATTTTTTAAAAAGATTAATATTTTTCTTATTAAATTCCGGCTAATTATTTTATTTATTTTTACTTATTATTTTGGCCCAAATAAATCTAATATTAATAAAGATTATATAAGATTTAATTTAGCTAAAATTAAAATTAGGCTTTTTAAAGTTTTTAATAATTGAATTATAAATAAAAGAAATATAAGCCAGAATTTATTTATTAATAAGCCTAATAACTTATATAAATATAAATACTTT